CGCGCTTCGAGACTGGCTCTCGCTGCCTCAACGGACAGCCGCCATGGGCGCGGCGCAAGTACCCCGGCGCCCAAGTCGGTGTCTGGATTCGGCGCAGGCAGCGCGGCAGCCTCGACCGTAGCGCTTGCTTCGTCCCGATCAGCCCGGCCGGACCAGCGGTATCATGTTCTTCAGGCGCGCGCCAGTGAGCCTGGCGACGCAACAGATGATGACGATGAGCTTTGGGATTGCCCGTGCATGCGTATTGCTGCTGGTGCCGTCGAATGATTTGTACCCGATCGTCACCTTCCACTCATGCGGTCGCGCTGTGAACGCAGCTGGTGGAGGCGGATCTTCAGGCTATCCATTCGATTCATGTCTCGAGAACCCGTCCACGGGCTTTCTGGGTCGTCGCAATACTCAAACAGATGCCGGCCGTATAGCTGCTGCGCCTGTGGGAGGAATGACGAGAGTGGCCTCAGCGCGGCAGCCGAAGCGCACGATCTACATGGCGTCGTGACGTGGGCGACCCAAGTACCCACTGAGAATATCTGATCCATCTCGCAACGCTCGAGCTTGCCGCGTTCATCAGCACGCGTTGGCACGACGAGTTGCCGAAGAATGCCCGCCAGGACCGAATCATGCGGCGCATCGCGGTGGCGGCGGCGGCAGAGGATGCAAATATGGATCTCGCACTCCTTTATGCCATCCCTTCGCAACGCCGGTGCACTTCATGCCGAGCACTAGTTCCGCAACACCTCCGCTCTCGACCACGGCTTACTGTTGGGCGAGCTTCCGAGCATCTTCGTCCTTACAAACCCGGGGGTAAACACTGTGCCGCATATTCCATCGACGTGGTGGAGCCCAGCTACACCGACGTGGACAGCCTTGCATGTTCGCTAGATCCAGAGAACATTAGGCTTCTGGACTGGTGCATGCGCGTTCACTACTGCAGGCGTACTCGATCCGCCCCACCGAAGGACTTGAAGTCATCTCGCTTGACTTCAGCAGCCCACTGACTGCTATCTCGGACGTGCACCTGGGTTGGAAGGTGAACTCTGACTATATAGGTACCGTCGAGGAGGTATTGATATCTTGATGGTCGTTGAACGTTGAACGTTGATGGCTGAAACGCGACTGCGGCCATGCACGCCCTCGATGAGTGTGTGCCCAAATCGCCCAAGACGCGCACGCCGTCTCCGGCCCGGCCCGCGAAGTTTCCTCGAGATGGTGGACTATGAGGCCGGCACAGATGGCTTTGGGATCAGTTGCGGGTTTTCGAGGCCGGCAAAGGGGGCAAGGATTAAGGCGGAGTCGCGCTGTCCGGCGAAGACGCGCTCGACCAAGGTTTAGAGCAGTGCGCGGCGGATTTCGGGCAATAGTTACCTACTTCTCATGCTATATTATGTTAGGAATCGATATTGTTGTGTACTCAGTATCAGTGTTTGAGAGTGAAAGGTGCGGAGGAGCAGATAGGGACGACTGTATAATTTGCGTAAGTTGGTAAGGCTTTGTGCGACTATGGTTTGCGCGCCATATTGAAGGGGGTATAGAACCTAGTCAGTAGTAAAGTTAGGTACTACAGAGTCAACTCTCCATCGGAACACAGGCTGCTAGAAGAATGCTACATATCAGGAGCATTCGGAGCACTGTGATGACGCGCGATCAGATTATCTATCGAAGCCCTCAATCGCCGAAGCGCATCAAGTTCATCCGCCGAAACTGCCCGGGCCGACGGATCGGCAAGAGTCGTCCAGCAAACTCTGCCTTGCTTTCGACGAGTCACGACGATCTGCGCCGCTCAATCGTCGTCCTTGTTCTGCGATGGTACGGGCTTATGTATCCCCGGTGCGCAGACTATTGTCCCCACATGTTTACTTCGGTTGCTTACCTTGGAGTCCAGGAAGATCGACTCATGGCGATAAGCACGAGGCCTTTACTCCGTCTCAAGTCCATTGCGTCGCTAGAGTCGGAGAAGGTCAGTATTGTTGCACACACAATTGCGATGGCGTTGACATATCAAGTAGGCGATGGAGTTTGAAGCCGCCCGCGATGCTCAACACCGCGCCAGCGAGGACGCGCGTCAGGCGGCGGCGTTCCTGTTTTCTTGCCATTCTCGAGAGATCCGGAGGGCCAGGCGTCGTCTGCGGACTGCGGGGCGTCTGCGAGAAAAGGCAACAACGGCACTGATGGATTGTGCTTGGCGCGTGGGTCTAGCGGACTGTAACCAATTCTGAATGGTAGTACACATACTTCAAGTGATAACGTAACTTCTTGATAGCAGCGTGAATTGTCAATGGCAATTCAAGTTCCTAATGGCGCCACGGTTCACTGATGGACGCCAGCTTTTTGGACTTTTTTTGATTGGGAGGGAAGGTATACACATATTATCTTTGAATATTAACCAGCATTGGTAATAGCCGTGTGGTACAGTGGGCTAATGTGCTTGGGTGTCTTGGTTCGTTTCTTGACTAACACAGCCACGGTAGGGCATTGAGTAAAAACATCCTCAGTCACTATCCAATGACAGCTATTGTTTCTTGGACTATCGTCTATTACCTGGCAGAGGGGACAGCACAGCCTGTAGGTATTCCACCATGGTCTGGCCGAGTCCAGTCAGAGCAGTATCGTGAGCGCACGGGTAATAGCGTGTCGGTATTGCCGTTAGCCATTTCAAGCCCGTCTATCCATCGCTATGGTCGTCAATCGTGGCAATAGACAGAGAGCAGACCTGAGCACGCGAAGTGGCGACGTGGTTGCAGGCACGGCTCTGAGACTGCGGTCGCCCTATACTACTTCGTGTATGCCAGGTACGTATGTATTCCTCGTCATGTTCGGATTGCACTAGGCCAGACGGAACAATGACCGAGTCCACCTGAACGTCGACACCCTCCAAAAGACATCTTACTCGCAACTTCCAGCCGCGAGGATTCTGTCTGTTCGCGGTGTCTCGCACGAGCCTAGACAATTTGAACTATGAGCAATTTCCCGTCGCACTACAAGAACGTAGAGCGATCAAATAGAGCGACATGTCGAGTTGGATCGCCCGGAGCCATGTCCCGGTGAGTCGTAAACATTGTCAAGAATACCCAGGGATAGACACTTCCCTCGTGCCCCTCCGGGCTAGCCCCGCGCCCTTGTCGCGCCTAGTTCGTACCGTCCAGCTTCACTACGTTGAAGGAAAATATTGCAGCTCAGGTTACTACTTATCATGATCACAGACGGTGTTCCCTCTCCAGTGTCTTCAGGCAGCCGGCCCGATACAACCGCGCGGTCAATGCGGCCCGGAGGTCCACATTGCGCACTCGAACCACCGACGCGCGACTTGGACTTGGACTACGAGGACGTTATCGGCATTGATCATGAGCATCTGACCGTATCCGCTTTGTCGATAGTCGTTTTTGAGTGCTATTATACTTGATGGACTGATGACGACGCGAACTCGCTTGCTACAATAACTCGAGGCATGTACAATCGGAGTACCGGCGTCGTTATCCTACGCGGCACAGACTCCTCCTTCCACGAACGCGGCGTTCAACCCACCCTCCACTTCGGGACCTCAGATGTGCTCCCTCTTGCCGCGCATACTTTGATGTGGCTTACCGACGAGCTACTCATCAGTTCACCTGACCTGAATACGCCGTGACCCCGGCTGCTTGGCGATTCCCACGATCTACCTTCGTATCTGTCAGAGCAAACAGGGGCGCATGCACATGGGAAAGGCCGGACGGAAAAATCCGGTCAAAGGTTCAGCAGAACCGTATGTCTGTGAGCTGCAATTCATCTAAGCGCGATCGGGTGGGATACCTCTGCGTTTGTCAGCGCGACGGCTAGCCCTAACCAATCCAACGGCAAAACACAACACCCCTTTGAGCGGTATCTCGGTGGTTTCGTGCTTCTCGCATATGATTACCCTGATTTTTTATGTATCAACTGCATTCATCTGTCGTTGGCTGGTGACACAGACGCACCGCGCCAGATCTCCTTATGTATACCTGCGTACGTTGCGCGCATCGTCACGCTCGCACCGGCTTCCCACCGATCACGTTTCTGGGTCGACGCTGCAGCGACCTCGCAATGCTTATTATGGGATAACCGATGGTTCAGTTCGTCTCCATCCATCTTTGGAGCACCCGGAGCGTCTACGTCGCAGGCAACTCGAGGTCAACACTTGAGTAGGTTCATCTACAACAATGTCTTCTCTCGGTACACGACGACCGCGGCACGAGGCATATACCTATCGAGAACCTTTCCACCGCATGAGCGACTTCAGAATTTGCGACGGCATCAAGAGGCCAGCTGGCTCTGTCGGAGCATTAGTTTCTCGCCCATGTGTTCAACGTTCACCTCTCATGACAGAACACCCCTCCTCCGCAACGAGATGCCTTTGCTTTCCCCTCCGGATGATTACGATGACTAATACGGCTGCTGTGTCACTGCCAGCGAGCTCGCCGACGTGCCCGACAGTAAAGTGCCGCGCGGGATTACAAGCCACAATGCAGAACTACACGCGAAACGCTGCCTGGCGGGGCATATGGATCTCCATTACGACCAGGACGCCAGAGAGCTTTCTCAAACTATGAGATGAAGGATGGCATGCTAGGGAGAAGGAGATTATGTCCGTGGGTGCTTTTGCCACGCGCTCAACGTGTTTACTCAACATCACGGCGTCGGCAAGTGTGAGACCGTGCGCGCCCGGCTTCCTGCCACCATCTTCATTCAGTGCGTCAGCGCGGAGAACTATTGGGCACTATGAGTAAAGTGAGTGCTTCTACCTGACTTAGGAAGGCTATAAGTGACCCAATGGACAGCCGCTCGACGAGCTTGAAGAAGAATTTACACGTACCGAGCTTGACCTGGATCAGGCGCGTCTTGACGGCGTTAGTGGCCCCGCCTTCCGGACGTTATTCAATACCTGCAAACTCAAATTCCTCGCGTTCAATCGTGTTCGCGAGCAGAGTGGTATGGACCCGCTACCGCTACCCGACAGCATTCGAGAAACAACGACGACGCCTTCATCGCAGAAGGCTCCTGACAATGCACCATCATCAAGTGTGCGGGCTGCCTTACGTTCCTCATCAACCAGGGCCTCGTCCAACAGACATTGCGCAAGGACGCAGGTCGCTGTGATCAGTGAAACTTCCTTCAACCAATGTATGTGAACGTGTTGGTTTGCCTTTTGATAGCTCTGACGGCAAGACAGCGCCGCCGCGCCGTAAGGCAAGCGAAAAGCAACCCGTTCAGCAAAGGCGTTCGAAGAAGGAGCTACCGCGCTTGGAGACCAGAGGCCCTTCGGCCCAGCGGGCCATTGAGATCTCGTCAGACGAATCTGAGGACAACGACGTGGTCATACTCTCGCCCAGGTCTGTTCGACAGCTTAAGCGCACCGCGCAGGGTTCCTCCCAGAATATTGTGGGCGCTGCATCAAAGATACGCAGCCGGGCGCCCGCGAAGTATACTGTCCAATCTGCGCCCGAGAGCCAGGAAGATCACAACGAGGCGGTAGAAATTGACGGAGATGCAGACGAGGACGGGTCTGCCGGGAATGGGGTCGGAGCCGAAGTGCAGGATTTGGACTCAGTGGGGCCAGGCGCGGGGATGCCAGGCGTTCTTTATGGTGGTGCAGTAAGCAAGGGCGAGGGTGATGAAACTGGTGTACGTGACCAAGAGCTTGTTCCTACACTTCTGTCTACTGAACTCCCTCCACTAGGTCAGTGAAAGGGGTTGTGGAGACGATACGAGCCTCACCTGTAAGGAGGACAATGATTGCGCGTATTCGACACGCCTCCTTCGCATTGCGGCTTTTTGCACGGAGCAAGCCGCAGGGTGGCCCTCTAAGTTCTGCTGCGAGGTGTCCCGCCTATTTTTTGCTCTCGTTGATTGGGAGCGGGGTAACTTCTTCCGGGTGCGTGTGCCGTGACGACATATGTTTGGAAGGCCCGCTAATGCAGCATTGCGGATTGCTTTAGGATTATGGGGCCGAAGTTCCGGCGTTGCCCGACCATATGCGCTATGACCAGCGCATAGAGCTCGGCGACTATGCAAAGACAGCTGGAACACGAGGCAAAGGTGTCCCAAATGAAGTCGTCGAGTGCGTGAGGCGTGTGCGGAGCATGGCGTTCAATGACGCTCGCAAACTTTTTGGCCGGAACGGCTTGTCGGCGCTGGTGGTGGCGATGATGGACGCGCGCATCAGCAATGAAGGCTTTGACTCCGTGTTCCGACTGCTTGTGCAAGAGCTTTCCTGCTTGTTAGATGGGCTATTGGGAACCAACCATCCGGGTCGGCCGGGCACCGTTCTGGAGTTTCTTGAGATGGAGAGTCCAGATATAACGAACAAGTGCTCTCGTGCAATCAAGTGTTTCAGCACTATAGAGCATTCGACAGGGCTGAGCAATCGGGCGCTCACAAAGCGAAAGATGGACAGTGGCGACGAATACCCCAAAGACTGCGCTGGAGAACATAAGAAGAGACGCGTTCAGATCTGACAGTGCCGAGTGTAGCGATGATTGTGTTTGCACAATATTTACGGTTACTAACATGATTATAAACGCCATTGATGTTGACCGTGTGCAGCTTATTCAAAATACTATGTGACTACAGTGCATGGCTAACGGCCACATACGGTGCGCACTCTAAGCTTCGGGAAACGCTCGCCATGGGCTGCTGTTCGTCGTGATCCGTTCACCTTGAATTTTCATGTATCCAACAACACCAACATCAGTTCCAACAACTCGACGCAAGATCGACCCCTAGGTAGGGCACACTCTCACCCTAGGCGAGGCCGCGACCTGAATCTTCAGATAGCCGTTAATCCGTTCACTGGTGGAGGCGTTCTTCGCACCAGTCCTCGCTCGAGCACTCGCTGATTCGAAAGCTTGCGGACGACAAGATCATGATGCTAGTTACATCTGACTTTGAGCTCTCTCACTCCGTCGAGATCACCGGGTTCATAGACGCCGCATCCACGAGGGAGCTTGTCTTCGCAAAGGCAAGTAAGTATGCAGTACGTCGTAGCCGTCCCAATCAGTGACAGCTGCAGCCTATATGAAGCGAGCGCACGTGGTACTTGTTTTATCAAACCGTCGCTGGACAGGCAATGAGCGGCACAATATCCGAGGAAGGGTTGTGCCTTGAGGAAGGGGATGGGAGGGATCATCGATCATCAGTCATTCAGCGTCCCAGCAGTTCGCATCTGAGGCCAATAGTTCTACCAGAGGAATGCCACGCAAAGTCAATCCATCCTCACCGCTACCCAGCAGCTCGGCCCATTAACATCGCGCCATGTATAATCTCCATTGTACGTCCGTACAAGCCCCTAGTTTTGATGTGAGGGAGTTGCACTATGTCTGCGCAACATTCTTCATAGCCGGGTCTGGCTCGCTACTCGCGAAGATGGGAAGCAAAAGAGATCTGGCGGGGCCCATAGGAACACCACCAGTGTGCCGATGACCTAAGTAGCAGAAAGGTTGAAGGGTTCAGCTAGGGCGTCGCGGTGGTTACCTTGCGTTGCAAGGTTTCTCCCAACTGACAATTCGGCCAGGCACCGACCCACCATCAAATGATCATGATGCAAGTCGGCAAGCCCCGTTTACGCGGCACGAGCGCGTCGCGCCGCGTCCTCCACGTACAACACCGTCTCGTAGACCAACACAAGTGGCGGAGTGCTTCCATTTGGATGGGATATGTGCGAGTTTACAGCGCTACGCCGCGAAGAGCATACAAAATCTTTCCATACGTGCGCGCCTAGTATGCAACGCCCATACTTCGCGATCGTGACCAGTTGCAGAACAGCACGACGGACGTGTTGCCCTCGTGGCCGCACATAGTAGTGCGTGCAGGCAAGGCCGCATCGCCAGGGCACTGCAGCATCAAGAGAGCTCAGCGCTCTCTGCTCCCCACGCAAGGTTTTGCCGGCGCCAGCCGGCCATTCCTCGTCGGAAAGCGCCTCGTGAGCTATTAGATCATCGACGTTCGTTGGACGTTCGTACACCACCACCATGATCTCCCAGCTTTTGCTCCCACCCTTCTACGTGTCCTCCGCTGTTCGCATACTCGACGAATAAGCAGCCAACATCAACCTCGACCAAGACGGTATCAGAATCCTGTAGATGACGGGAGAGCAGTACAGTACGCGACCACATGAGGTGAATCGGCGACGCTCTAGAGAGGGGTTGGTAGAGATACAGGTATACTTAGGAGAGGGGACCGTGTCTTGGTATGCCTTCATCCCCATTTCTCAACCGAGCCCGCGTATGCTCAACTTCTTATTGGCAGGAGGTGTTAGTCTCTCCGGAACTTTCGGCTGTCGACGGACAGACAGGACTCTTCGACGTTTATTCTTCATCAATACAACTTCTATCAACCTATCGTCACTCTTACCAACTACTCATCTTCAACCTGTTCATCAACATGCTCATCGCTGCTCACTTCTACGTCTACTCTGCCAAGACTCGCTATTTCGCCCTGTAACGCCCATATTCTTTCTGTATGTTCGGTGCAAAGACTTGTTGGGCGGCAGCGGCACTAGCGATTGCCGCTGCGTCTCAAGTGAGCGCATACGATCTCGTACGGAGCTATGAAGGTAGCACCTTCTTCGACCGGTGGGAATGGTTCGGCTTGCACTCAGAATTTCCGCTGGCGCTGCTCTTGCTGGGTTCGCTTTCCTCTCGCCATAACATCCGGACCATTGCTGATCATGGTGAATAGTGCCCAGGGATCCAACATCGATGCTCGCTCTTCGGCCACCTAGATCTCAGCGGCGGTCTTGTCGGATTCCTCCCTGGCGTTCAAGTCGCGTAAACAGCAACGAAGACACCCATATCATCAAGCGCTAATTACCAGTAGCCGGCTCTCCACTCGGCACGAGCATGGGGATACAACATGCTACTCCCCTCGCCGCCGACGCTGATTTGACCCTGCTTCCATTTCTCGAAGCACGACCTCTACGACCTCACCGGCCGTATCAGTGTAATTCTTTGGTGGCGGCATCGAAGGCGGCGCGAGTTCCGATAAGCGCATCCTGAAGTGCCAACTTGTTACTGTCGATGTCTGTCTTTCTCAGTGAAATCTCTCGCCAGCTCAAGGCATGCATTGTACCCACGCATTTCGACTACGTCCGCGGCCACTCCGGCGATTAGGGCAACGACGGCGCTGACTGGTGCACCAAATGAAGGGGCGCGGAAGCCCGCAGTCGGCTCCTTCGTTGCTCCCGCTCTGCCCGACATCCCCGCCCCTCCCAACGACCATGGCGCAGATGTGTTACAACCTCACTGGCAAACTCTGGTGCGAACATAGAGTCAGAAGACTAAAGTAGCTCGTCTACCCCAGCGCGATAGCACACTTTAGACGCACCGTGCACGGAGGCAGGCGTCCCGTGTCGCGCGTGGGAACACGGGCCAGCTGGGAAGACAGCCGGTCTGCCGGGAGGAGACATCTCGGTGGTGATTCTATTACTACTATCACACATGTCAATGTCAACGTCTCGAACGGGATATTTCAAGACGCTGTCAGCCCCAGCGAGGGCGCTGTATCGCCCCCGACCGTCGTCGCATCTAACATTGTCGTCAATGTGCGCGACATTTACAACACTGGCGGACTTGGCGCGCTGCTTTTTGGCTTCCCAAAAGGGTACAGCGGAGAGGATGAGATGCACGTTCTTAAGTGTCAGCTTCCCACCAACCTCAACGTTGGCGAGCGACTCAGCTCGAATATGGGCATTCAGGATGCTGCTCCTCTGGCCGAACCCGGTCTCGGCCTTGGCCCCAGCGTCTCCCAGCGCGGCCTCTATGATACTACCGACGGCATCGACGCATTCCTTTTCAGTGCTGGAGAAGGCTACGGTAGCGATGAAGACGAAGATGTGTACATCCTCAAGCGCGACGACTCAGAGGTCGAGGCACGCTCTCCGGACCTCTACGCGTACCCTTCTTGGTCGTCTTGGAGCGCTGACATCCGGTGCCGAGGTTGGCGGCTACAACGATGGGGATGACGACGAGAAACCCCTACATACTGAAGCGCCAGCTTGAGCGCCTCGGGTTAAATGATCTCGTGTAAGCCTATCGCTCATTACCATGACATTGACAGCTTTCCCATGCTTCGGGCATGTATATTACCTCGCGCTCGCATCATGTACTACATCTTCTTCTTTACTTCCAAATCCCATATAGATTCCTATTTATCTCTGCGTGTGATTCTCACTCTTGCCTCGCTCTTGCTCAGTGAGGCTTGTCAGGCCAGGCTCCCCTCCATCTCGGTAGCGGCGTTGGCACGTTTCTTGACGGCGCTTGGTTTACCTCCACCCCTGTCGCAGGCCCGAACACAGGTGTTCTGCCTAACGTTGGCGGCGATGCGCCTCGAGAGTTACTCTCGGTCTTTGGTAGGATGATCCCGCCTCCGTAGGATCACGTACCAGCATGCATATTGCACTAACATCGGATTTCATGCAAGCACATGTAATAGGATTTGGCACTACATCGTTATAAGAGCCTACGTGTACATAGAGATATGGAGAGTCTCTATGGTACGCCTTTACTTTTACCTCTTTCGACGCGTTGTTGCGCCACCTCCGCGAGCCTTCGGCTTTCGCCCGTGAAACCCCTTGTTGGAGCCAAAGGAACCATCTGTGAAGCCGGCTGCCAATGCATCCAGTTCCTTCTGTAACGCCATGTCCTCCTCAAACAGTTCCAAATTGGCCTCATCGGCCCCTGCGTCAGAATCCGCGTCGACAACGTTGGCGCGTTTTGCTTTGCTTCGCCTCTCGCGTCTCAGCTTCGCACGCTGCCGCATATCCTCAACCTCGTCAGCTGACAGCACGGTCAGAGGCTCTATAGAAAGGCCATCATCTGTGTGGACAGACAGAAATCTGCGTGCCTCCATCCGCAGTTGGACGAACTCTTGTGTCCACCTCGACGCATGCGCCCGTCGGATGTACGCCTGCTTCGACGCATACGCCCGGATGCCATCAGTCCATGCATCGTCACAGACCCAGCTCTGGTCGGGACCAAGGTCAACGGTCTCGTTATAGTCCCGGCGTGCGTCCCATATCACCGCCATTGATTCGCTGTAGTCAATGACGCGTTGCATCTCGGCCTCAACGAGTCGTACCTCCTGCACCCAGTGTTGAGCGCGTGCACGAGATTTGGCCCATTCGACAATCAGTTCTGTGATGGATGTCAAAATCATACGACTCAAGCGCCGCAAACACTACAGGTGAACACGTACGTTCTGTGATCTCAGTACCAGTTTTTCCGCCCCAGCTGTACCAGATCCACGGCAGTTTGTAGGCTGTTTCGCCGGATGTATCGGCCGTAGACTTCCCTTCGAGAAACTTCTTGATCTTACGCTCTGCCATCTTCTCCATCTGTTCAATAAGCCTATCGCCGAGAGGGCGGCATTCCGAGTCCTTCAGGTCGCGCATGACGTCTTTCCAGGAGCCATCGCCAACCAAGACTTCATAGGCAGCACGATGCCGTCTGTATGCGTCTGCAGCCTTCTTTACGTTGGCGCTGACAGCAGCCTGAGCGGTGTGTGATCTGGTAGACGCCTTCTGACCTGTCACTTGCGCTACTCTGTGCTTGTAAAGGCACCCTTTCAAGCGCAATTGGTGCAGTAGGCGGTCAAGCTCGTCCTGCATCAACGCCCAGCGATATTTGGCCTCCATCGCTCTTGCGGCGTCAGAGACGAGGGTCCTGTCACCGTCCAAAGGGTCCGAGGGGATACCAAGCGCGACTGTCATGGCGGTCTTTGGGGTTGGATCGCGTTCATTGGTGGAAAGGGCAGTGTATGTCGCGGACATAGCGTGTTCTTGTACAGTGCGGAAGTCCGCGATCGTCAACGCGAGGTTCTTGAGCATCGTAGTTCTCGTTGTCGCCTGCTTGTCCGTTCCGCTCTCGCCATCATGTTTGGCAGCTATCCGCGCTCTATGTGATGTGCGAGTATTTCAGCTTAGTCGTATGCGAGATTGGGCGTTACGGACCTTTCATCTTCGGCACGAAGGCCGCGTAGAAGGCAATCGGCTAGCACCGCATCTTCTTTTGCGAGTGCACGCGCCACTTCACACGTGGCAGAGCCTGCTGCTTCTTCGGTCTGCAGATTAACTTGCGCGATTGATAGCCCTGTACAAGTGCACAATCAGCATCAGCTACCAGTCTTCCGATACCATGGGTTCTGATCCGTAAAGGCGTGAACATGAACTGCACAAGGATAGCAATCCGCAGAGAGAGAGGGCACTCGCGGTGAAACAAGCGCGTCGAGGGTATTGAAATGGGGTATAATCTTCAATTGTGATTCCTACCTAGTTTTGGTGTGTAGTATGGACAACGAGTGTTCGGTGCTTTCAACTGATCGCACGCTTCCCATGTTGAGATGCGTTCCTGCGCATCCGCGATCTTGTCAGGGTGTTGTACTTGAAGCGCCTCAGTAAATTCGGTGTGGACATCTGTCTGCATGCCGCCTTCATCCAGAGCTCGATCCATCCGACTCCGCAGAGAAGCACCTTGAATAGCATCAGCCTGGGCATCACGCAAAGAGGTCAAACTGGGCTCACCAATGCAGCAAGTCTTCATCCAGTTCCATGCACCGAACATATCGTCCATCGTATCATTGTTCCCTCCCGGTCCCATCTCTCGCAAACTAGACGCTGCTGCGTTGAACCCAGACCACAGACGCTCCACAGCTTCTCCGTCCGTCACAGCCGTACCGAACAACCACCCAAAAGCGTATCGAAGTTGACACCACAACTTGTGAGCATACAAGTGGAATTTCGGGACGACAAATGTGATGCTATTTGTCTCGGCAAGAGCAGCAAATTTCTGCGCGCCGGCCCATATTACGCTTGTGTGTGGTATTCGGGCGAGGCGTTGCTTGATTTTCCGGCTGTACTGACAAGCAATATCGTACGAGATGGTGACCTCCGGGGCACGGATGTATGATAGAGCTCCGCATATCACCCAGTCTACTGTTTCGTACCTATTTTAGATAAGCTCAAGGCCAACGTCATGTATCTGGGTGGCTTACCGTTCTCCTTTGCGCAATGGAGCGACGCCGAGAACTTGCACAAACTCGTGACGAGCGCAGACACACGCAGCAACGCCGGTAGAGCGCTGGCCCTTTCCACCCCTCAGATTGGCTAATTCGAGTGCAGAGAACTTCGAACAAGTCGACTGAATGGAAGTTGCGCCGTGAGCTCACTTGAAATCGAACAGTGAAAGCGGCTTGCCTTCTCAGACAGCTCCTTATTAGTCGCACGAATATGACGAGCGTAGTCAGCCCAAGGCGCCATGTAAGCTCTGCCGTCTGTGAGAGTAGGATCCGTCTCTTTCGTCGCGTTCGAAAACTTATTGGATAACCGGAAGTTCGCGTCCACAGCCAGCATCGCCCGTTTAACCCATCTACCCATCGGTGAGTCATGATGATAAAGGCATCTGCAGGTTCACGCACTTCAACACATCCGGTGTCCCTTCGTCACGGTCGTCGACATTGTGCTCCAAGTCTGGGCAAGCCGGGCATCGGACCGCGCAAGCGCCTGCAGGGGTTCCGGCAATGCCTCCAGGTTCGTGACCTCGACCTGCTCGCTTGAACATCATTATATGACGAAATTGGCGGACACAATTGGAAAGCTGTTGCCGGACGTTCTACCCAGACGTCAATACGAGGGGTACGAAGAGGACTCGTTTTATGTGCATACCGCTATGCGTTTAAGCATCGCACCGTCCGTCGACGCCTCCAAAGCGCGATAAAAGTCATACACATTCAGTCGACTGATCACGGAGAGCCGCGTGAAGAGATCCAAGGCCTCAAAAGTGGTCGCTGTTTGTGGATTTTCGCACGTCGCAGGCCAGAGACGCCACCTCATGAGCTGAATATGATACGGTATGTCTCGCCCAATGTCACATCGGCAAAAATCGACAGGTATATCGTGGATCCCGTTGGTATGGATGATGGTGAAGTGTTCAACCGAATGTAGCGAGCGGAAAGGACAAACTTCTCCAGGTGGATGCAGAAGTTGTATACGTATGCCAACAGCAGATCCGGAGATCTTCTCGTAGAACCCCGAAGAATTAAACCGCTTATTTTCAATCAATAAAGTGAAGTGACAGGACGCCTTGTGTGATCACATACCTCGATCTTATGTAGCGAGTTGAATCGATGCCAGAACAGGGTACATTCTTTGCAAAAGTTCGCGTGACGGCAATCCTCGCACCGAAACTCTGGAAATCCCTCTTTCCCACAACCCGGGCACTTGGTGAGATTTAGCGCCTCCGCGCGCCCGTCTAGCCGTAAAGATTCATGCAAGAATGCGTTACCCCATCTGAATTTCCAGGGGTATATGGGGTATTTCTGTGCACGCTCATCAGAGTTCGATACTGAATCATGCAGAAGGCGACACACCTTCCACAGATAGGCAATGCGTTCTGAGACCGATGGCGAGCTCGTTTCCCCCGCGGTTGGTGCAGTGTCCTCTTCAATGTGATCTACATCTTCGTCAGAAGCGTCTGCGGTGAACGTGTCTCCCAGTTCATCCGCAGTCTTGAATATGGGTGCTATCTGATATCAGAAAATGGACTCTCTATCAAAGACCGTCACACACCCTTCGCGTGCGCATCGTCCAAAGCTACGCCATGGAACGGTTGCATAAATGCTCGGGTGAGCCTCTCTGCGCTCATTCCGGCCATGACGCCGCTCGGTGTAGTCACACAACTTTCACGAGTCTCCGGCGCACACACTCGAGAACCACTGCCTTGCGCTAGCGCCAGCCCACTGCCGAAAGTAAACGTGGGGGGAGGTGTGTGACCACTGTTCGTTGGTGGTACGAAGAATGTGCTGGCGGAAGACTTTGGTCCGGTTAGGTTCATTAGAAAGCCAGTGCCGCGGAGGTTTGGCACAAGCCGTTTGCGCGGTCGCAGGTCGTCATTCAGACTGAAGCGCCCCATGGCGGGACTCGTAGAAGTTAGGTTTGGACGTAGAGCTTCAAAGTGAACATGATCACGTGAGCTGAATGATGTACTGACGTCAAAGACCTAATCTGGATCCTCGTGGTCACGACGGGATGGTCTAGTCTCAACTTCCTCAACTGGCATCATTTTTTCATGACACACGCCAGAGTCCTTTGGATGTATGACAGGAACGGCCCCACATCAGGATGATGCGCCGGGAGATGCGCATCTCGTAGCGCGAGCTCAATGCGTCAACGCCGAGAGCGTGCGCCGCAGCGAGAGAGGCGGGGGAGATCCTCCCTAGCCCAAGAGCAAACGACAAGTGCGCATTGCGAGAGGACGCATATAAGACATTATTACTAGTGAGGGATCGGGAGGGAGAACGAATGGATGTAGAAAACGAGCATAGATGAGCCGGATGAGGAGGAAATCGTAAAACACGTGCAAAGTAGCGGTAGCGTCAGATTGTTGATGCCAGGTATTGCAAGTCTCAGGTGCTACTATTCGGATGACCCCGCAGAGGCTCGGTTGGAAGAGCCGACATCCAACTACGAGAAGGTCTACTAGGCGAGTGCGGAGGGGTTGCCGAACCACAGCTCTGAAGCGTGAGGTATGCAAATGCCAGCCTAATATTTGGTCGGCGGCAGCCAGCAGACGCTACGCGTGCAGAGATCGTGGTCATGGTCGCGGACGAACATCTGCGGAAGAGACCAG